GCCACGCCCATGCCTCATAAATGTCATTCTGTTGTCATCCTTGTTGGACTCTCTAGTCTGTATGTTTCCAATCACTCAGGCTCCAGCCTCTCTCTGACAGCCTCCATCCACCTGCTTGGGCCCCTGGCCCCAGTTTCCAGTCACTTGGGCCTCTGATCCCTCTCTGGCAGCTTCAGGTCACTTGGCCATTTCTCATAATGTAGTGAATTTAAACTACCCATATTGCAAGCAAACTGGCAGCGAACAGAAAGCTGGTAATGGTAGGCCAGTTAGGTTCTTCCATTCACCCATCACTCCATGGAGGGGGAGTGCAGCATCTCAAGGATAATGTGCCATTGTGTGGGCAGACAAGTAGGGGAGAGATGTAGTGGATCTTGATTGTACCTGGTTCTCCAGGAGTGCATCTACACGTACCGATTTAAGGCTCATTAGCCATTTTTAAGGTGCATTAAGGGTGCAAGTTTACACATGCATGCCCTTAACGCACCTTTAAAATGGCAATTTTAGGCTATTCATGCTTAAATTTGATACCTGTAAAAGCAGGTATCAAATTTAGGTGCAAATACCTAAAGCACCTTAATGTACATGCATGTGTAGATGTGCATCTAAATTGCCTTAATACACATTAGGCAAATGCGCATAAAGTTTAGGTATGCGTAAAAGCATGTGTAGACACACCCCAGTAGTGTAATATCTCACTTTGGAGCTGAGTGGCTGAGAGTCAGAAAGCTACAACCAGCTCCTTGCAGCAGCATTGGTCCCATAACTCCCCTGCCTCTCCCCCTTTGTACCATATGCACAGTATGCATGAACACAATTAGGCAGAGTGAAGAATCGGGCACTGTGTATAAAAGCTACCATTCTTGCCTGATACCATTTTTTAGCTCTTTTGCATTGGTGAAACTGATCACGCAAGGTGCAAGGCAGTGAAGAATCACATACTGTATCTTTTACTAATTCTATAGAGCAGCTAGTACATTTCTGGGTGCTTTAAAAGCAACACATCATAATGATTACTGGTCCTTTCTGGACACAGCTGCTTATAGCACTGAAATAGGTCAGGCCCTTTCTGACCAAGTGTAATTGTATTGAGAATTCCAAAGTCTGTGGTTTCTGTGGTATAGGCAAGATTTTCTTTAGTCATATACTCTCCTATGCTTTGAAAATATTTCATTTGCTGCAAGAAGTGGTATTTGTAGTTTGCAAGTAGTATTCTTCTTTCTGACTTGGTGCTGATTCAATTCCCCAAAATAATATTAAGGAACACAAAAGTACTTTCACATGATACATAATATAGGTTCTGGCTACTTGGTCATTAAAGATCCTATAGGTTTTGTTAAGGCAAAGTAGAAGTGTTTGGGCAGATGCTGTGACCAGATTTCATTTCAGAAAATTATACTCTGCTCTTTGTAGTTTTGAACTGGGTAATGAAGTCTTATTTACTCCTTTTCCTAGCTGATGTGGGCTGCTGTGCTGTACTGTTAATTAATTTGAAGCAATAAATTTTGGAGTTTATTGTTCCCAGGCACCTGAGACCACAGTATGTTGAACTGGGTCAGAGCAGCCCCAGTTGGCAGGGGCCTGTGGAAGGGCTGGTTAAGGCATGAGGGTGCTCCAGTGCAGGGCAATGTTCCCTCTAAGCTGTAGTGATCCGTGAGCAATCCTAGCTGGGAGTGCACAGGTATCTCAGTGTGCCTGTCCCTCCCCACTTCTGCAGCAGCCTGTGGCCAGGTTAGGATGGGTGGCAAGCAGCCGGATGCTTGCTACAGCACTGGGTGTTCTCCCCAAGCTGGTGCTCGGGGGCCGTAGCCCCCTACCACCCCCTGTCGGTATGTCACTGTATGTATATTAAAAAGTTATTTTGTGTCATGATCTTGTATTGTGCACAGCTATGCATGTGCACAGCTTAGAGGGGATGCTGGTGCAGGGCTAGCCAGCAGGCAGCCCCTGCATTGCAACACCCTCATGCCCCAGCCAGCTGCATCAATGTCTACACGTGCTGCTGCAGAGTAAAAAACTCCACAGCAGGATACTACTTGTACTTACAAGTATGATCTTGCTACGGAATTAATTAGTTTACTCCAGCTGGATTGCCCTGCACACAAGGACATCAAGATATTTACTGCAGAGCTAATTAGGCAATTGCAGTATACGTCTCTTGTAGACACACTCTTAATGTCACTTTAAGGAAAGATATCATTTAGCAGACAGTATTTCAGCACTAGGTGTCTTTAACAACATTTCTGAATCTATGAAATGTTTATAGATTCATATATGCTAGAGTTGGAAGGAACCTCAGCAGATCATCAAGTCCGACCCCCTGCCCTGGGCAGGAAAGCATGCTGGGGTTAGATGACCTATCCGGCCTTCTCTTAAAGACCCCCAAGGTAGAGGAGAGCACCACCTCCCTTGGAAGTCTGTTCCAAATTCTGGCCACCCTTACCATGAGTAAGTCCTTCCTGATGTCCAGCCTAAATATACTCTGTCAGTTTGTGACCATTGTTCCTTGTTACCCCAGGAGGTACCCCGGTGAACAGGGCATCTCCTGTTCCTTGCTTCCCCCCTCCAACGAATATGTAGGCGGCCACAAGATCACCTCTCAGCCTTCTCTTGCGGAGGTTCAAGATATCTGGTTCCCTTAGTCTCTTTGCACAAGGCTTGGTCTGCAAACCCTTAACCATGAGTGGCCCTCCTCTGGACCCTCTTGAGGTTATTCACATCCTTCTTAAAGTACCATGCCCAAAACTGGACACAGTACTCCAACTGTGGTCTGACCAATGCTACGAAGAGGAGAAGTATCACCTCCTTGGATCTGTTCGTCATGCATCTGCTAATGCATGTTAAAGTGCAGTTAGCTTTGCTGATGATTTCGTCACACTGATGGCTCATGTTCATCTTGAAGTCCGCTATGACTCCGAGATCCCTTTCCGCTTCTGTGCTACTGAGAGGGTCATTCCTCAGCCAGTAAGTGTGCTGGATATTTTTACGCCCTAGGTGCAGCACTCTGTATGTGTCCTTGTAACACTCTGCATTTCTCCTTCTTTAAGTGCTCTTAAAATGTAAGGTACTACATAAATGTAAGGTATCTTTCTATTCTATGTCATATCAGAATTCTCATGTGTTTATTTTTTGTGAATATGAAGATAGATATACATAAATCCTGACAATATCCATGAAAGACAAATGTGTAAAGTTCCTGCTTCTCTATGAGCAGGATTCAGGCTTTAACTTGGGGAGCAATGGTACTTATGCACTGCAAAATATATTTAAAGAAAGATCTGGACAGGACAACACCTGAACTTTGTTTGAGATGCACATATTAACATCTTGTGAAATGGCAAAGGTTCACAACTAATCTGCATAATATGAAGCTGATTGCAGATACTGTACCTCCACCTACAAAGCAGAGGCTCAGCAACATACTGGTTTTCCTGCTTACATGTATATGGTATAAACAAATAATTCACCAGTGGCATAACTAGGGGGAACATTAAGAGCAACTGCCCTGGGCATTGACTGGGGTAGGGAGGGACAGGGGGAGGAGAAGACAAAAAAATGTGGTTGATGCTGGTAGCTGCACATTCATGATTGCAAAATGGAAGTTACCACTTTGCTTTGTCCCAGATGCTTGGCCATGTCCCTAACACTGCTGTAATTCACTTAACTGCATAATACAATAACAGGCATAAGGTTTTGCCTACTGTTTACATTATAACAAGTTTTGGTTATCTTCATATCAGTTAAGTGCATAAGATACTCATATGAGTAGCATCTTTTAGCTCTGCTATCTACTTTGTAACTTAATTGTACTTCAGTTAACTGACCTTAACTGAGTACTAACTATAATTGTAATGGCCTACTTCAGGAGTTGGCTACTTACGGCATGGGTGCTGCGTCAAGCCTGCAGATACATTTGATCTGGCTCACAGATGTGGACTTCAGTAATATCTGATGGTTGGGGGCCTTCGGCAACAGGCATTCAGTAGCAGGCATTTTCCCTAGGCCTGCCATGGCAGAAGCAGTGGTGTGGGCAATTTCCCCATGCTGCTGCAGGGAAAAGTGAACCAGTACCTGGGTACTACTACCTGCCTCTGACACAAACTGAGTAATTTAAGCCCTCAGCCTAAAGGGATTGCAGACGGTAGTCTAAGTGTACTCCACTTAACTGTGCTGGAAACCGCCGAAGGAAAGCAGTTCTTGCAGGGATGCTATTAAACTAGTCAGTATGCAGGCTAGTTCCCCTCATTTTCAAGACTTCTAATAGCAGCCCAAAACTGATTATTGAAAGGGAAATGAAAATGAAAAGAGCTTGTCAGTTTCAAGTCTGAAACTGACAGCACTGTACTCTTTATGAATGCTTATATTAAATTCAGGTAAATGCAAAGCCCTTCTAAGGCTTGAAGCAATGCCCTTCAGTAGAGTATACCCTGCACACTTTATGTAACACTGTAACAAACATTGCATTCCATCTTATGCCTAAACTAATTGGCTTCTGATACCTGAAATTACTCTGGGTCACAATTCGAAAGATGAAGATAAATGAATGTTGTATTGTGAAACTCCATTTGATGCATGTTTCTGTTTATCTACCTAGCCACTTGTAAAATGGAATTGATACCTATTTTTCTGAAGCATGCAATCCTTAGATTGAATATTATTAAAAGCATTTATTTGGCACCTACTAGCATGGTACAAGTTTTAAATGGAGACATTCAACATCTCAGTAAAAGATACCAAATACCCTCTCCTTTTCTGTGGAAAGATGCTGTGTAAGTGCAAAGGTTTATTACTGGTTCTCCTGGATTTTATCACTAGTTTTCTAGCCTTCCACTATTTTTAATGAAGAACCTAAGCATAGTTGCCACTGAGCTAGTTGCATTTAAACCCGTCATGTAACTTAGACTGCTTCATTACATTAGTTCTTCAAGAACGTGGGGAGTTAAAGTGTGAAAAATTATACTGAAAGCAGCAAAGGCTGATGGATACAGCTGAGGTCTTAGTCTGGTAAACTAGTTCAGTTTATTTAAAAATGTGTGGATCAATTGCAATTTGTCATCCCCCAGAGTAAATAATGCACAACCCCTTGGCTCACATGAGGAGCAACCTTAGAGAGAGGGATGTTATGTATACAATAGCTTTTGATATTGTTCATGCTGAGAAAAAGGCAAGTAACGTTTAAGCACTGAGTCAAGTGAATTAAACATTCACATGTATTTGCTGAAAAAATTATATACATCTGTAGCAAGGCTCTGCCAAGTTTGAAAGATAAGCATAATCTAGTCACTAAATTAAAAAAATAAAAATCTGACTTTTAAATCTTTTGCTTTTTAACCATGTTCAGGATCACAGACAATTACTTTTTTAGCACATTTGGTGAAGAACGTATGTTTGTGTGAGTGCCAATGAAAACTGGTGAAAATTTGGCATCTTTTCTGTGTATGACAGAAAGTAATAAGAAGCAACTTATGCCTTATAGTGTAAATAAATCACAGAGTATCTCTATCAGATTGCAAAAAGGGCCACACACAATAGCAGTCAAAAAGAAGCCTAAACACCCAGAGATTTAAGATACACATTTGATAAGTAAGAACAAGTAAAGAGCATGCTGGCTAGTTAAAAACATTTCATTTGCAATCCCGTTCCTTACGAGTGAAACCCTGGAAAAATAACCATCCCATACATGAAATGGACTCCGCAGAGATTTCTATATCCATTCACAGTAAGGCTTTGAAGATATATAAGTTTTATAGCTTGTGTATTTTAAGAATTTAGGGCAAATACATGTTCTTCTACTGAATAAAAAGAAAGTTAGTACTTAAAAGGTTCAAAAATATATCAAGTGATTTTTTTACATAAATAAATTATATTGATTTTGGATTTGACAGCTGAAAAAAACCTTTCTGCTTCCACTGGAGGCAAAACTGAACAAATGTTAGTTAAATAGCGATAGCAGCATTTCTAAGAAATCCGTCAATAGCAATACAGTATCTATGCTACAAGAGTGTTATTAAATAGAATAAGATTTAATTCTCTGGGGTTCTTTTTGCATTATGATTGGTTACATATTTTTAAAGAATGCTTCCAATCCAATAAAATGGGAATAAATTCCTTGAAGATATAAACGTGGCTTGCTGTTAGGCCATGGGTAACAGACTTCTTTGAGATGCTAATTTTATCACGTACATAATTTATAATCCCAAATGTATAAAAGACAATGACAAAAAGCATCATAAATAAATAATGCAAACTGAAATAGTTATGTCAAAACATTTGGACCATTAGATAAATTAGCAAAACTGTAACAGAAAATAAGTAAAAAATACAGTAAATAGTGACAACCAAATGTGAAACAGATTACTAGCATGCTTTCAACACCCTCAATTAGTCTGCCATCTCATTGCTGCACCACTATATGTTTATTTCAAGTCACAAACCATGAGCTGCAAATAAGAACAAGCCCAAGCGGAAGAAAAATTAAATAGGAGTGAGGAGAAAGAGAACTAACAAGAGTAGAACTTTGGGAGGTTGATAGCATGAAAAAAATTGTTAATTTAAAATGCATACTCCAGAAATATTTACCAATAGGAATATTAGGAAACACTGTTTAACAGCAAATAGAGAGGAATGGAAAGAAGAAACCGAAGTATGCTCTTCACAGTCTAACTCTAAAAGGAGGAGAATAAGCTCACACTTTGAAAAACCTCAACAGTCCTTTTCAAAGACATTCAAAAATGTAAAGCTGGTCTACAGCTCCCCACTCCCCCTTGTTTTCTGACGACATTATTTCTGGGAAAGGTAGGAGAAATATTAAATGTTAAAAGAAAAAAACAGAGCCTCAGTGTTCATACAGGAACATTAAAATCAGAGTGACCTCTTCATAGCTGAAACAATAACTTTACATGCCATAAATGAGAACTAAATATTAGCAGAATGGTGAAGTAACTGGTAGCGATAGGTGCATTAACTGCAATAAAAGACATGCAAATATGCAAAAACTTCTCAGCTCAAGCTGAAAAAGTTTTTGTAACGAACAGGGAAAGGGTAATTGAAATTCCACTTAACATAAAACCAAACTTTGGTTTTAAAAAAATATAGAATAATGTCTAAGTAATATTTTCTTTTGTTGTAGTTTCTCTCCCAAACTTTGTGGGGCAAGGGAAAGAAATTATATCATTACCAGTTATGCTTTTTTAAAAAAGAAATCAATATATGGATTTTCAAACATTAGTTATATACTTCTGTCTATCTACTATTCTAGTAACGAGGGTAAAATACAGAAATACTTTAAACCAAAATACACATTAGTAGCACTTATTATAACTGTGCTTTTTACCCCCCAATACAAGGTTTTTCATTCAGAGTCACTCTAAAAAGGAATGCCCTTGTCTGCATTTAGATCAAGAGATAAGGACTTTTGCTCTTTTTGCTTCTTCTTCTTCTCAAATAAGTCAGCAATTTGGAGGCCTGACCAAGTACTGGAATTATTATTGTTGTCTGGGATAAACAACTGAACACAAATTCCATGCCTCCAATCCTACCTAAACAACACTGTTTATCTAATAAAGTGGCAAGACCCTGCAACTATTAACATATGTTATGTCACCATAGTTTTTTTACAGGGAGTTAGGTAGATAATATTTACTCATGGAAACACAGGTTTTATGAAGGTGAAGTGGGGGCAAGAGGGTAAGTAACAAATATTTATGGGATAAGAAACTTACAAGCCACAATCTTTTTCTTAATGAAACAAAAGTTCTAATTTGTATTAATTTCTCTTGACTCCATCTCTTCCGCTGGTACATCATGTTCTTTCTCTGTTGACAAAGGTGGTGTTTGCTCTATACAGTTTTGACTGTTTGTTGTTTCTTTTTCAGAGAGCGCAACAGTTTCTTGTTCTGGATTTGCTGATTCCCCTTTAGTTTTCTTCCTCTTCCGCTTCTGGCTTTCTAGGTTTGTCACCTCAGAAAGTCTGGTTTGCTGTATACCTGGCAATGCCATGCCAATACTGGGTGAAAGAAACATTGATGGATAGATCAGTCCAGGGGACATTCCTGGTATAAGAAATGGATTAAAAGCTACAGGACTACTGGTTGTTATTGCAGATTCTGTCTGATCAGAAAATGAACTAGGACCAGGCTTGTCTTCAGAAAGAGTTTCTTTTTTCACATTTTGGCTACTCTGTTTGTCCTCAGTAGCTTTTTCTGCATTTGATGTACCATTTTTTGTGCTTGTGAACAAACTTGGAGCAGTTGAAGTACAAGTAGTTGTCATTGGTGGGTTGAGAAGCCCTCCAACACCAAACATCTGTGGTACACTAGCCATACCTGGCAACATCATAGGCAACATACTCAGAGTGCTTTTGACATCCTCACCAGCAGACACTGCTGCAAATCCAGCAGGAAACCCCACCAGACCAGTTAAAGGGATGCTTTGCATGTTTCTCATGTTCTGAAGTCCAACTACATCCATTCCAGCAATAAGTCCATTCATGAATAATGGTCCCATTCCTGAAGAAGAATCTGCTATAACACCAGGGGCTTTAATCAATTCACTTCTGGGCCTCCTTCCTCTCCGGCGAGGCCCAGTGTCTCGGAGCACAGGCTCAGTTAGGATACGATTAAACTTGCTTTCTGGTAAGAATCCCTGAAAATGAAACAAAGAAAACAAAGATACCTAAGAGTTATTACCTCTAAGAAAGCTCAGCTTGTTGTCATATGCTTATATCTGTGTTGCTGATGGTATCAACATACAAACACCTGTCCGTATGATTCTGAATATGGGTTTGAGAGGATCAAGAATTGTCATCAATGGGATGCTGCTAGTGCAAAACATCCCCCCACCCTCATCCTAGTATGATGCAGCCAGAGTGTCAGAAACCTCCTGGGGAGATGAAGAAATATTTTTCATCCAACACAGAGAGTAAAATTCCTGTTTTTCATGAGCATGTACTTTCATGCTGAGAACTGACATTCTTCATGAGAGGCAGCTCAATCCAAGAGCTCCAATACCAGAAGAAAAAGTTTACTTTTTCAATTTTAAGGCCAACTTAGAGCTATACATAAGAGCAAAGCTACAAAAGATGCACATGGAAACAGCGTACATGCATATTGTGTGGTTCTCACCCTTTATAGCTTTAACTATAGCTTTACGGTCAATAAGGCACTTTTGGACACCTAGACATAATGGATGTGTACACAGATACTAACTTTCTGACAGTTCAGCCAACTTAATTTCTTTAAGTCAACTTACCTGTCAGAGTATACATACATATGTGGAGAAGAGTTAACTTAAATGTGGCACAAGATAATATACCTCCAAGACGTATGATCTTGAGTTGCATTAGTTAAGTTGACTTAGCTCATAAGATGGCTACCACCATGTCAAGGAGCCGTACATGTGTATGCTCCAATGTGACTTAGCAATTAGTTGACATAGTTAAGTTACCTTATTTTAAGTCAACTTTGGACATGTGTAGACACCCAACAATACCAAACACACACTGCTGTGACTGCATCTATTTAAATTAGAAAAAAAAATAAAATCTATAGTGTAGTATTAGACATGTCATCCACCACTTGTATCACAAACCTTTTAATATCTTCCTCTTATATTGTTCTGATTTTTATTGTTTAAAATAGCAAATGGGTTTGAAATAATGGCTTTTCATGTATAAAACATTTTGCTTTGAGACTTAATCTGTAGGAGCTCATACAATGCATTTGTCCTGTGAACTGGATAAAAATATATTGTAAGTTTACATACCACAACTACTGAACAAAAAACATAGTTTTTCTACTCTGCCTCCAAATGTGCATGTGAAAATCTGTACAGGCATATATGTACACCTGGACTTTGCAGGTACAGAGACCAGCTTGTGCTAACATTTGCTCCTTCCCTTTTAATAGTTTAACATCTGTGTGCATGCAAGTGTAATAATTACTAATATGTACTCACAAAAAGCATGGTACCAATGGGGCTTGGGGGAAAATGCTAACAAACATGCAAGTGTTAAAGATGCATACTAACAGTGAGTGGGGCATACATGCAGGCATCAGTGAAACTGCCTGTCAAAAGTGTACACAAAAAACTATCAAATCTGAAGTCAACATAATGGCTTGTGCAAGACAGAGGTTGGACTGGATGCTTACTACCTTGGCTGGTGGAGCTAGCATCATTCTGGATATGCAGTGCTCTATTTCTTGAGGAAATGGAATAATCTGTTGCTTTCCAGTGTCAATTAAAAGCAACTTGTAGAGCAGACAAACCTTCAGACTGACCAGTATCTCCTCCCACCCCCTTAGTCCAGCATGAATATCATGCACAACTCTACAAGCAAGAAGATGGTGAGTAAAAGCAAGAGGTCCAAGGGACAAGCCATGTGCAAACAGACTGACCCTGACTAACCATCAGATGAATGTCTTTGCCATCTCTGTCCAAGAGAGGTATGAGCTACTAGGAGCTCTCACCCATGTCAGTCTTGTGCTCATTACAGTAGTCACTCACTTTAGGGATGGGAAAAAATAGGCGACAAATTTTGAGAAAGGTTCCCTTGCTACACTGAAGCCTTAAGGCACTGAGACCTGCAAATGAGGGACTTGCACACAGAGTTTACAGGAATCGATTTAGAGGCTGGGCTGAGGTAACTTTGATCATGTGATCCATTAGGTTACACCTATACGTTCCTTGTACCATAACC